ACTATTAATATTAAAATAGGAACCGACAAGTAACATGTTTAGAACTTGCGAAGGCTACAGTATATTTCGTATATGAAAACTAGCCAAGTTAGACCTTAGGCTACAGTATATTATCCTAAGTTATAAGAAGAAATGATATTTTATATTGTTATAAATACATTTCAGGACAGACCATTGAACTTGGCACCCATTTAGATCTCATCTCTTTTGTCGTAGAAGTCAACAATCAAGGCATATATCATAATATTAAACTCGGCTATCATTTCACATTTATGTTTTTGATGGGATATCATTACTTTTTGTACATAAATTATACGAGGTACTTATTTATAACTAAATTAATACCAAATTATTTTTGATAAATTACTGTATTTTCGTATATTTACGGGGTATAATTGTCTTTTTTTGTGTTATTTTCTATATTTTCTTGTAACTTTTAAATGTTCAAGTGCAATGCCAATTCAGTATCAGGAATTTTTGAGCAAATCGGGGCGGTATAACGTCCACAGATGGTTGTACTCTACAATAGAGCTCTCGTGACTTGGATCTAAATTGTTAAGACGTACCTACTCCATCTAAGGTTTTAACTCTGGAGAGTCCAACGTAAACCTGCCCTTTATTAAATATAGAGGAGGCTATGTTGAGAAGAGGACTGCCAAAACTCAGGCCTTGTGATTTGTGGATAGTAATAGCATATGTTAAGCAAATACGGAATTGTTCTCTATCAACATATACATTATTTAATATCTGAAACTTCGTATTGACACGTTATAGTTCGTAAAGACGATTATGTAACAAATTGACTGTTCTCTATTGAATTCTCAAGAAAACAATTTGTTACCAATGAGTTCTCATTCTCGAGTTAACTATACATTCCTACTTATAACTATACTAAAATTGTTATTAATTTTTGGTTTAAACTATTGTTTATACCATACGTATTTACTAAAATAATGTAATAATAATATAATCACAAATATATAAGTATAATTTAAGAAAGCTATAAATTTCGTAGCATAAATCGCAACCTTATAGGTTAGATATCGAGAAACAAAACATTGAGACATGAGGGCGGCTGCCATTCGCTCGGACAGGTTCGCGTCAACGTTTTATCGCACCGCTCCCACACGGCGCCGCGCCGCGGCGCCCTATACCGAAATGCCTATTATTTAATAATTATTTATAAAAATAATGATTTTACACTATCGATGTGCGCTAAATATTGAAACAATAATTAATACTAAATCTCAGTTAATAACATAATAAATACGAAATTCGACTATACTCCTAGTTATAAGTACGAGTGTATTTTAGACAGAATCTAAATTATAGCAACTACTGTTTACCGCTCAATGCAATATTTGAAGTTTGCTAGTTATCGACACTGATGTGAAGGGGTCAACGTAAATTGGTAATGATCGACGTTTTCATACAATATTACTTTCCGTCCAGTACAAGATGAGATTTTTCGCCAGGGATCAATGTCAATTGGTGGCTATCGACGTTTTCATAGAATTTTAGTATTCGTCCAGTATAAGTTGAAATATAATCAATTAAAGTGAAAAATTGTAGTAAAATGATAACAATTTACCAGTTTCAGATTTTTTCCTTTATATTCACCTAATTACCTATCTGCATACCAAATTTGAACTTCCTAGGTCATCTGGAAGTGGGTTATAATTTTGATCTATAGTTGATCAGTGATAAAAATGACGATTTTTGGACATTAATATCTAAATAACCGTTTGAGATATGTTTATGAAATTTGGAACACATATTTATCTCGCAAGTCTCAATATATGAACCAAATTTGACAGGTTTGTGTGAAAGAGTTTTTGAGTTATGAGGGGGTCAAAAGTGGCTCCAAATGGTTCGTGTAAATATACACACGGTGCTGCAGGCCAGTTTACTTGAAACTCGGCTTGACACGCTGCCGCGTGTCTAGATACTTAAAAATAAATGTAAAGGTACTTCAAGTTGAAGTGATAAAGTGAATGCGTCCTGACTCTCTATTTATATTGTCGGTAGAAAACAGCTAAGAAAGCGGGTAGACAAATTTTTCTGCTCGTAATAATTGTTTACATCCACTGCCATTTCCTGTTAACCCCTAAACAGGACCATTGAAACAGCGGTAAAATATCGAAAGTCCTTTTAGATATCTTTTTAATGTCATAGCAAATCTTGTTTATAAATAACCATAAAATTAAATTAAAAAAAATATATTGGTTATTTTTATTACGATCTGCTATTATTTTTGATTTTATTTTAGGACATGAATAATGTAGGTATTAAATTATTGAATGAGTATATGTTAGCATATAGGTGCGCATTAACCATAACATTAAATATATTAAAAACCTCCGGTATCCACTTCGCTATATTAATTTTCTTTTATAACTTTCAGAACACTTAATTTACTTAGATTTGTTTTTACCTAAATGTAGGTAGTATTGTATATCGTATATAAACAGTGATCGGTTTTTCTTATTAGTTATATATGATCAATATTTAAGTAGCTACCTATGGTTATATTTACCATATACAATGTTAGTGGTAAAATTAAAATTAGATATAATAAGTTCTTTAAAATAATACTTTTCCTTAATAAGTGGAATAGGCAATTTAAGTTCTATTGAAATCATTAGAAAGAGGGTCATTAAGTCTTTGTAAATTGGCTGTTATTATTAGTCACCGAATTCGTGGCGAAATTTCAAACTGAAAACTAAATTGCTTCTTTTTCATGAGGGAAATAACGTGAAAGATCTACAAATTGGTCCATTTATTTCAAAATATTATATTCCAATTTCATTTCAGGATATTTTTTATCGAACAATCGTATTCCCTTATCATTATGAAGTTTGAGTGACATTATTTCAATAAAATACTTTGCGAGTCTTTCTACCTGAATAATTATATTGTAGTGTCCGGACCATGTGAATTAGTAAAATAAATAATTACACTTAATATGTTCACATTCATTTTATATAATAATAATAATGATAAATGTAGCTAAGCTAACACAGGATAACAATCAATCAATGACAAACATACAGGCGTGTCAAACTTATAAAAGTTCTCACTTTGAGTCGGGGATTAAAAAAGTATCATATATAATGTAACAAGAACACTAAGGAATTATATTGTCTAATTTAAAAACAAAAATATATTAACAGGTTTAACGACATTCTTAATCATTGTAAGAGGTCAATAGGACCTAAATTGTACATAGGCTTCATAAACGGGCTTTATAAAAGACGCTCATAAATAAGTACTGTATAATATATATGTATGTACAGTTATGTATAGAATACACTAATACCTATAGAAACACCTTTTATGAAATATTATTTTCCCAATATTTCTATTTCGGTTATAGACGATGAAGGATTTTATAATGTAAACAACAACAAACACGAAAGCTGAATAAAGCGGGTATCGAAGAGCTTTACTTGTAGCCACATAAAATGGCGTCCACTCAACAATTCAAACAACATTTTATTTACAGGCGATGAATATTCCGTAATTCTTATAGTAGTTATTTCATTATCGTTGCTTGGTGTCTTTGCTCGATGCTCTTCAGGCCTAAGCTCTCCATTAGTCGTCTTTTCTTTCAGCTTATTTCTTTAATGTCATTATTAATAGAATTTTTTTTGCTCCAATTAAAAGCAAAAGGGTTCATGAATTCGGGCCGTTGAATTAATTGGCGTCGTAATAAATATACTCTATGTACTTCTTACTCCATCTTCTGTATTGTATATGTTGGCAATATAATTTTTTGTATATGAACTTTTACTCTTCGTCTTGTATTGGAAATAGGGACTGACTACGATATTACTTTTTAAGACTGCTAATTGATTTTTGTTATTGATATTAGATGTAATAATAAGTAGTGTTTGGTGTTTTCGAGTTTTATGATGTCATTTCTGGTTCAGTTTTTAGTTTGTGAATATAAGGTGATTCGTGCCATGTACTTTATATTTAGGTATATAAATCACCTCATTTTCACAGACAATAGTCTCTGTGTTGTGAATTATCTGGAACCTAGCTATAATCAAATATTTAGGGTTAAGTTTTGTTTTGAATTATTATAGAAAATATTAATGTTGATGTGGGTTTAGTTATTTATTACCCTATGACACAAACGGTTAAACTAGTTAATACAATTTCGTACACAGTACATATTCACGCGGATGAAGTCGCGTTTACAGTAGTTTAATAAAATACATACAAAAGAATTTTTGCCCAAACTATTTCAAAGGGCCTTTTATACCTTTGTGTTTGAATTTCTATAGATACCTTCTTCAACGTTGCGGCGCCTACGGCACAGCCATTGATGAGTCAATCAGGATTCTTATAGACGCATGTAAAAGTTAGTGAGGAAAGCATTATGGCACTTAGTTACATTGTAATTTTAACTTTAAATATCAAAAGAAACTCGCATATCGTATGGAAAATGAGTAAATTGTTCAAGTCTTCATTAGTTTTTATATAGCAATAGAGTAATGAGATATTTTAAACATTTGATTCACAAAAAATAAAAATAATTTGGACAACTTGGACAGTTTCCATAAATAAACAGTGTTTCCCGTACCCACGTATTGTATTACGGGATATTTATCATTATGATATTATTTTAAAGTTCCTGATATTTAATCACCGGTACATGCATGTTTTTGGAACTGGAATGGCATGTAAGCTGACGGCCCACCTGATAGTTCCGTGGCAACCGTTCTCTAAATACATGAAGTGTACTGAATGTACGCGTTACCATTCCAGCGGACATAGATTTTATACCTATGTACCCTGTAATTTCAATACCATATCTGACTTTACAATCAAAATACATTTCACAAAGACGCTGCTTTGGGTAGACAACTCTTACAAATACATACACATATACTTTCAAAATATACTTACCTTCTCTGTGTAATTAAAATATAACAGTTGTAGTTGATATTATTATGTCCTACATTATTACTGATTCTTATTTTTTTTTTTAGGAAGAGAAAGATCAGCTACTTACAACGAACTGCTGGATTACACAGGTGTGGATGGACTATCACCTGCGATGGAATATCAGCGAATTCAATGGCATCGACGTCATCAGGATACCTTACGAAAGAGTATGGAAGCCAGACATCATCTTATACAACAAGTAAGAGAATAAGCTTCAAGAACAGTAAATTATATTTGTCTATAAAAGTTAACTAAAATATAGTTAACTTTTAAAGAAAATTTAACTTACCATTAATTTTTTTTTACAGAAATAGTATAATAGTATAAATCAAGTAAAACCCAATTTTCGTAGGATAAATTAAATAATAATTGACATTAAAAATATTCAGACACAATAGTTTATTGTGTTTAATATTTTTAATATGTTTTAAACACAATACGACTCAATACAGACTTGGCAATATAAATCAGTCGACTTATATTGTAGGTATCGCATATATTATGTTCAGTCGGGCCAATTTGCTTCTAGATATATTTTCTTCACATTTTAAAAAACACATATAAATATAAGTTAAGTTATGCAATTATAAATTTTTAAAATAATCAACAGTCGCGTTACCCACACAAAGTATGAAACTTGTACTGGTACTTTAAGAAATTTCAATTTCTCTGACTACAAATATAAAGCAAATAAATTGTATAAAATTTCCTACAATGTTTCTGTAAAGAAAAAATTGATTACATTATTGTTGTCTTGGAAATGACTGAAGTGTTTTTGGCAGCTAGTCGAAAAAGCCTATTGTTGTATCGTCTATTTTGATAATAATGTTACAACAATTGAGAATTTAACAATTTAGATGTTGCTAAAATAGATACAGAGGGGTAGAGGAGATATAAAGATAGGTACCTAATACTTATGTAGTAGGTACGCAACGGATCATTAGGATCTCAATTTATCTTCGTTATCGAAAACATGCAGTGATGCGTATAATTCTCTACACTGAGTCATTGTATTATTGATTGTCATAGATTCTTCAGTCACTGAACCCACGTTACATACAAAATGTAAGCAAGTTATTTAACTACCTTTTTAAGAACTAAATAGTTACTAATCCTTTTTATACGACCTATAAAGGTTAACTTCTACTACTTCATTTATATAAGTAAACAGAGTTTGTGTTATGGGTACTAGAAAATTGATATAAATACATAGATTTTTTTGTAAATACATACGTAATATACATTGAAAACACCCATACTGATACAAAATACAATACTCTTAAATATAAATGTTTTCTGCCGTGCCAGGAATCGACATTCGGAAGTAAAGCCGAGTACTAAACCGATAGATCACCAAGGTCACCAAACTCAGTACAAAATGATAAAATAGTTTAGTAACCAAAAAAATTGTTGGAGGATTATTCATCTTTAAAAATAAGGTTGACGAAGAAAGTTTTATTCGCTGCCATTCATTATAAAGAAGGTGTTTCCGTACCCAATAAATTCACTGCAATATCTCACTTACCGGAACATAGCATAAAAGCAAGCTGTTTGGCGGTATAAATAATAGAAAAGACAGAGGTAACACCTATGTAGTCTTACCGAAGTCAAATATTTCGAATAGAATAATAAATCTTACCTCTATCCTTTCAATGTCTATACGGACTATTTCAATTATCTAGACCACAAAACATACGGTATTAAGTATAAATTGCAGATTTAATATTACTGTCATTATCCATATATAACGCAATCAAGAGTAAACCGAATTAATTGATTACGGTGTTGTTTATTTTACTCAATCAAACAACTCTACTATCAAACATTGTTGCGATGGTTCGAAACTGTTTAATCCTATAGATCGATAGGTAGGAATTATTTTTAAGAGAATATATGCTATTCTCAAAATACTATTGTTGTTCATATCGCGATCTAGTGAAAAAGATTTTTCTATAATTACCCACATTCAATGTCCGGGTCATTTCTATACTAAAATAATACAAAGTGCATCACTGAGTTAGGATAGTAAGGATTGATAATAATTGAAAATGCCCACAATATTCCCCTAGTAATAATAAAATTGAATACATATACTTCATGATTTTATTTTTTACAGAAGGTGTAGATAGGACTCTATTTTCCGCAATTGGCCTCTCATTCGGGCCGTTGTGCGTGTAGAAAGTTTTTTACAGAAAAGTAAATGCCAATTTCTTAAAGAAAAATTCAATAAAATATTATTTAATACGCATATTATAATTTAATACATTATTACAACTTCATTCCTAAATGCATATAGCTTCAGATTACTCCTAGTGGCGTGCTGAGGATAATTGAATTCTCTAGTAATTTTCTTCTCATCATATTATTATACTACAGTGAAAGTCGTAAAAAATAAGATTTTCTGAACTTCGTACGTAATGCAGAGTCGCAATTGGCAAAATGATACTGTGTTATTTCAAATAAGTATTTAAGTTTGATTTCTGTGAAATTTAGTAAATAATAAACCTTATTCTAATAATGTCTATGTCGTATCGATTTATGGACACAAATAGCGTTATTAAAATCATTATTCAGAGGAAATAGTATATAAAGTCGCTTATGTGTATTTTACTAGTTGTGTTCCGTGGCTTTGAGAGTTTTCCGACCATTAAGCGATATTGAATAAAAATATTTAAACATTTTTCATCCAATATCGCTTATAATTTAATATTTTTGAAACGTTTAATATTAATAACATTAGTAGTGATATAGTGAACAAAGTGGTGACCTACATAATTGAAAGTATCTCCGGCAATATATGACAGTTTATGTTGTGATTCTCAAGATATTACGACAACACAACAAGTTCTGAGAACTAAACCTTTTGTATCATAGAGAATGTAGTGCTTATCTGAAACATGAAACAACTCAAGCGTTACTAAATGATAAAGTACATTACATGCCTATGCAAGTTACACAAAACTTTATCAACTGTAGAATGTTCCGAGAGCTTCATTTTCAAATATTAATACAATTTAAAATAGTATAACATTTCAAAGTCATATTATAAAATAATTAAAAAGAAATTCATTAAGATGTACAGTGATAATAAAATTTTTATGAGAGATTAGTATTATATAGTGACGCTTCATATAATGGAAAGTCATAATCGGCGCGGTGTGATGATTGTGTTTTTATAAGACTCCCGAACGATTATTTAACCGGCATGCTATCCTTGAACTTAAATTATACTATTTCAATATACGTGGAAAATATTTATAGAAAATATTTTCATTTCGATATTATTTGATTTATATCTACAGAATCATATTAATATGTCTATGCACGTAGACTCGAAATAGATAGATTCAAAGCAGAAGAATGGAATAAAATTACGGACCGACATTCCCATCACGAAAACACTTTGATTCTTTTCACTGAAACAAATCTAAGTCGGTATCCCTGTTTGGGATAAGCAAAAGAATTATATTAATTTAACGTCGAAAAGGATTTCACTTATCTCATATAGTGATATTGGCTAAATGGAGAAAAGAAAAGTTAATGCGACATCCAAGTGACAACAGTAAATTTTAGTAGATCGCAAAATAAATTTTGATTTGTTTGAATGAGAATAACTTTCAAGTAATGCAACGGTGGCAGTTACTTCAACTAATGGTGACGTTCTTTATTCTCCGTTGACAGATATTTATCAGTCCGTTTATTTGTCAGATTTTTAATAAATGCTCTAACTTTGTTTTGGCATGGCAAACAAGATGAAGACCTTTCTGATAGAAATACACTATACACTAATCTTTGTTATTTCACAAATAAGGTTATGCTTCAGTACCTAGTAACGCGGGTTGTATTCGCATTCTCTTATATTAAAAAGAGTAAACTTACTATGACTATTTTTTAACAATATCGTAATACTGGGGGTAGTAATGATGTCTAGTGGCCTATAAGTAGCAAAGTACCCACGTAAGGTCGTCCTCAACGCCTATCCGCCCTAGAAACATCATGATTAATTACTGGTGAATTCAACACGATCGGACATGTTCATGTTCATCCTATCATATTTCACAGGTACCTCGCCAGTTTCCGTTATTGCAGCCAGGTGAATTATTCTATATTTATCTATTAAAATATATAAACGGTAATATAAAAATAACGTATACTACGCTATAGTAATTATTTATATGTATAGGGTATATCGTCTCTCTGTGAAAATCTCGTAATTATGTTAAAAATAATGTTTGTTCCAGCGCGGACCCGAACTATCGTTCAGCGGTGATAAACACAAATGTAATAGTAAAGAATACAGGAGAGGTGACGTGGCTAAGCCACGGTATTTACGTGTCCGTATGCGATATCAACGTGGAGCAGTTCCCGTTTGATGTCCAACTGTGTACAATGAAATGGGCCTCATGGACTTACGATGGATTTCAGGTAAATGTTCAGTATATAAGCTTGTATTGTAAAATTGTAATAATAAAGAAGAGTAGAGAGATGAGATTTAAATATGAATGAAAGATTATGCAAAACTGCCAGTGAATCACATTGTAGGTCTAACAATTTTATTGTAGTGGAATACGTTGTTGTAAAATCTTATCTGTTGTATGCCAACGTAGAACAGTGGCGTATATGTACTGCTGGTATTGCAATAATTAAATGTATTTGGCTTGTATAATATTTATTATTATATATTTTTATGTTCCCATGCCTATTGTTAAAGAATTATTGTTTTTCAAACAACTTCATTTTTATATTTTCTGTGGATATGTTAGGCAATGTCTATAGCAATTCTATAAGGAGATTAATTAGTTCTATCCGCGTTAGGTACAAAATTTTGTACGTAACGTGTATTAACTGCGATTAGCTAGTATATAATACGTTCTAACAGAATATTATAACATTGTTGAATTTATGATATTAGTATGTGATAATCGTCACGCCACGTTGTGATTGGTCTATATTTGTCAGACAGGTTTTATTTATTTCTTAAATTATAGAGAAAATTTGAAGATAACAATATTGCCAATGCATATGTCACTCCATATGGGGAGTGAGTTGACAAAGTGAGACGGACAAAAATTTATGATCAGAGTTGTAAGTTTAGTGACGTCACTTTTCGACAGCAAAATTTGTTTTCCAACCTAATGCTTAATTGTTAATTTAATCGTTTCTCAGAGTACCTATAGGTAATTGTTAAATAAGTGACGTTACAGTAGAGCCCTAAATGTGATCAGCGGGATCAGTGGGAGGAAAGAATTATAAATTTTTACGAACTGTGATATATGAATAACTTCATTTATTGAATAATAATATCTTTCTATTATAATATTATTGACTATAGGTACTTTATTAATGCAATTCCAAGAAACTATAAATAGTTCCTTGAAACTGTTTTAGTCATTAAATATTATTATACAAAGAAAGATACCTTATCCATAAAAGATTTTTCACAAACGGCTGCATTCAAGAAGAGATAGCCTGAAAGAAGAGTCGGTTTGAGTAGTTATGATCCTCGGCCGGCAAATCAGATTGTATTTACGTTCGTTACTAACAAGCAGCCCTCCCCAGTGAGGTTGTTAGGGGTATTTTATCATCGTATCAAGTTGCAATCATACCGCGCTTCCGTGAAAAATGCAGTTATTCATGGATTAAACCGTACGATGTTGTATAAGAAATTTTACGGATTATTAAACGTTATTAGAAATGTTTGTATTCGGTTTTGTACCCCAATTATTGTATTTTTTTTATACTTTATATAAATTTTCAGTTCAATCATCAGAATCTAAATTTTGTGTAATCTCAAGTAGTAGGTGTAAATAAAAAGTTTTGTGCTTTTATTTTTTTATTACTACAGGTATTATACTAAGCAACCATAATGTAGGTATCAATTTTATAGAAGCAAACAGTATATTATCATTTCCTCGGATACGGAAATAATATGAACGAAAATGATCTAAATATTTTATACAGGTAAAATTAAACTTTCTAAATTCTCCTACTATTAAGATCTCATTCTTAGGACATTATCTTAATTGTACAAAGATTAAAAATAATAAACTTTATGCGATGCTAGGTCGCATATCATATCTCGTATGTGCCTTATTAAAAAATAGCCTTTTTAATTAACAACCAATTCTTTGTCAATCAACTCATTATTAAGTTTAAATATTTTTGTTTCCCAAAATATAATCAATAACAGTGTTGGGTAAATACATTCTCTTATTGTTTATTTAGGTACAATAAGAATTTGGGTCAATGTGGTGTATTGTTTATCCAATTTTAATGGAATTTTAACTCTCATTTATCTTTAGTGGAATTATTTCAGAGCACTTATACGAAAATTAATATTGTACACTATCTAAATTTTATATATGCATAGTAGTAGATAGATATAGGATTAGGTTAACGTGTTGAGAATGTTCGATCCGGGACAACATAGAAAAGTTCATTTTTCATTATACTTCAAGTAGCTCCATGTCTAATATAATGTTTCAACGGGAAATTCTGAAATTATTTTATAACAGCGACGTAGTATGGCAGGGACACTATTTTTCAAAAGGCTATACAGGTAAATTTAAATGAAGGGGTTAAATGTTAGAAATACTTGAAATTAGAGATCATATAAATGAATGAGTGGATTTTAAAGTTTAATGTTATTAATAAATGATGCTAAAATCTTATAAGTTATAGGATTAGACTGATTAACAGGCAGACGACGAATGTAGTAAAAGGAATTTTAATGATTGTAAGAACATAAGAATAAATAAAGTGATTTAAACACCACTTACCCTCCACCACATTGATACAAAGTTTTGAAAGTCTCAGCTATAAACATACCCTATAATACGCATACGAGACAAAACACTAGTGGATATTTTATTGAGATGTAATTTAAGTCATGGTTTATGATATATAAAAGGTTGGATTAAATATTGTTTCCCTTTGATCTGGAGGCCTACAACAGCCGTTGTCACATCCAGTGCAGGCGGTTATAGGCGTCGAATGTATTTTCTTGATTTATGTTTGCAATTTCATCTATAATATCAGTTACAAGGAAAATAGGAACATCCGATATTGGAAAGCAATCGTGGAATGTAATTTTTTAACCATAACAAAATATAAATATTGTTCAAAGAACCTGCCGTCAAACTGAATTTGATTTGGATTAGGTATTGTTTTCAGGTAATGTATTATTATCACATTTAATTAATAATAACCAAACTTGTGATGAGAAAATGAAATTAAACTTGAGCTACAAAATTCACGGAGAAACTTACAGATTATTGTATGGCAGTCTCCTAACAGCCTTTATCTTAAAATGTAAGCAATCTTAAAATGTAAACGAAGCAACACCTTACAAGGCTCAAAGGGAGTTGTTGTACATATATTTATATCACCGGGTCATAAAGAGCCCACCTGCATCCAGGATCTCGAATGCACGTGGCTTCTTTATAGCTCGGTAAAATTAGATTTTTTTGTATACTTTATCTTTGAATCATTAATAATTTTGTGTTGATAATGTTGTGAATATTATATCAAAATAAAGTGATTTGAAAACTATAGTAATTACTATATCTATATACACATATATAAAACAAACTTATGCGTTTATGACTAGCACTCACGATTTCCTCAGCTTTTTTGATATAAAGGATAGCTTATGTTCTCGAGATATAATCCATGCCTACGTAAAATTTTAGTTCACCTGTTTACACCTGAAACGATAATTATAGACGGACATACTCACCTTCGCTTTTATGATATTAGATTTAAATATAATTAATTAAGACTATTGTGTTCTGTGTTGTTTGTTATGTATGTGTGTATATTTATAGTGCTATTATGATGATAAGGAATCAATAAAATGTCTCACTCCGTTAGACTGATTTGAGTGATTAAACTCGGCGTAGTCACATTCCAAGTTTTACTGGCTTAACCCAAGACATTAATTAGGTTTTATTACAGTTGGAGTTTTAACAGAGATATATTGTAAAATGCGAATTTCGCGCTTGTTTTACTGTTGATAATAATATGCTGCTAAAGTTTTTTCATTATAAAAACGAGACATTAAAAATATAGAGTTTGCAGTTCGTGCTCACAGCGTTGATGCTTCAAGAAAGTGGCGGTATTATACTTCCGCACCCATTATTATAATATGAACATATTTATTGTAAGCATGGATAGTAGATTTAGGTACATTTATATCGTCTTATATTATTTCATCCTTCGTTCCTCATCAACTTTCGTCTTACCTATTTCAGCCAGTAAACAGCAGAAAAATCACGTAGTCAATGATACATGATAGTAATTTTTACTATTGTTGAAATGAAAAATACAAATTTGTTATTCAATTCTTTTATCGTGTAGAGATGCAAACAATTAATATAAATACAACGAAAAAAAAAAGTTAGGTATAATATATATGTAATAACTAATAGAAAATATAAACGTTTTACATAAACATAACTTAAGAATTTTGTTGCTAAAAGTCGTGATTATGACGGACGAACTTGACTGATACAATAATTTAACAATGTTTTAATCTCCAAAGCTTAATGTAATTCGTAACAAAATTCCCGAGAGTTAAATTAGAGAACGTAAATTAAAAAGACCTCTGTCATGCTTTTCATAATTGTTTTTATCATACACAAAGCCATGGTTGGCATCTGTGATGTGTACTGACGTGGTGAACCTTTGTCACTAGAAACAACACATCCCCTCGCATTTTTTACGGTAAAGGGTATATATACAAACTGCCATAATTCATTAATTCTTTTTACAATAGAAATAAAAAACATCTGTTCAATTAAAAATGTTAGATACCGTACAGACTTAAATATATTTTCTAAACAATACAAATACATAACTTTTTATTTACTGATACAGTATCCATTATTAAGTTATAATAATGATGTTAGTAATATTGATACGAAGAATTGGCATACAATCCAATATATTATTTAGAATTACAATAGAATAGAAAAATCTTGAAACTTTTAATTTATTATTAGCCCATTGTAGGTGGATTTATTATAAATATAGGATATGTATTATAAGTTTTCCTGTTATGTATACGAGTGAAACCTGAACGCTCCGGGCTTATACTCAAATAGTCGGCAGTCATATTAAATAACCTGATAATACTATTCTTTATTTGGTCTTGTACAAGAATATGTTGATTTATACATGCATATATTAATTTTATTCTGGGACTAGATACTTAGGGTATTGTATTCATATAAAATACGTTGAAGCGATCTTGGAAAACGTCAATAATAAAAAGAGGAATATTTCGAGCCGCTCAAGAAATTGTTCTCCGGACATTATTATCATCGTTTATAGATACGATTTATTTTTATGAAGGAATGCCGACAATTTTCGGATTGGCTTCTAAATCAGAGTTATTTGACTTTTAAATTGAGATCCTCTCGTAGTAGGTATTTTAGGTATTTTAAATACGACATTCGGTTTTGAGTCATCTTCGTAAATTTATTGAAGCTGTATGATTTATCTTATGTACCATATAAGTTTTATTTCCGTATAGCAAATTCTCGTATATTTGACGGTCTGGATGGTTTAATGGTTTAGCATACCGTATTATTTGCTATGTTCACAGGTTCCATTTGTCGCACGATGCACAAACATTTATTTGTATTCATATCTATCCACAGGGTTACTATTATTATGAAAATCTGCCAATTTTAGACGTTTAGAATTACTTTATTTGAACTATATATCAGTAAACGTTACATCTCTAGTGTTTCAAGTGGCCATAGAGTATGGTATGTGTTTACTATAAGATAATAAAATGGTAACCCAACAATAGTATGGTAGTATGAGCTTTACAGTTGGCATATTCAGCTATATTTAAGTTATATGTTTATGTCGATAAATACAAAAGAAATGATATGCTTCCATTTCTATCTTCAAAAAGAAAGAAGTTTAAGCAATTTTGATGACTTCGGTTGTTTAGCTATTTAAACACCTGCCTTACTTTCCTATCGTCGCGAGTCCAAATCCTCGCACAGTGTAATAATGATTATTAGTATTGTCATGAGTGTTTTCTATTTATATTACGTACGTATTAACAAAAAAAAATATTTAAGCATTTATGTCAGTTATCTAGTTAGTATCCATAATACAAGCTCTGCTTTGCTTGGGACTATGTTGATGGAGCTATGTGTATTATTAATATTGTTATTATTAATTCAATGCATTAAATATTTTATTTCTTATTATATTAGATTAGTTACCCACCCAGTTCCGCACGAGTGTCAAAACCGCTTTAATATCTTTTGTGTAGTTTTAAAGATTTAAGCATACATAGGGACAGACAGCGACAGCGACTTTATTTTATACTATGTAATGATGATGATGCTTTTTTAATATTAAAATATTTGTTTCTGATAACAGTTAGACTTGAAGAAACAATTCGACGAGGGCGATACTACAAACTATCAGACAAATGGCGAGTTCGATCTGGTGAGCTTCGAAGCGATACGGCACAATCAGTATTACTCGTGCTGCGTTGAGCCCTACCCCGATATCACATATGTTATCAAGTTGAGAAGAAGACCCATGTTTTATGTCTTCAACCTTATCTTGCCATGCCTACTTATTAACGGAATAGGTAAGAAAAAATATGTAATAATAGAATTAAAAAATATGTAGAGACATTTTTATCGAACACCAATTAGTTAATTTTATTTTATTTCGTCTATATATAACCTACAAGCCAAGTCTTCCGAAGTCGGAATGTACTAACCTAAATCTCCAGATCATGTCTTCTGTAATGAAGGATTAGCTCTATCCTTGAAGAAATCCTTGAATCTGCGGAATAAACTGGTATTTTAAAAATATATTAACTAGAGCACCAAATTTAATTATAGAAAATAACTTTTAAAAACAATGAGGTAGGTACAGAATTCTAGGTAGGTGTAGATTTTGACAAAAATCTAAAAAAAAAACTATTCATAATTTTTATGTAGACAGAGTATTCTTAGCATTAATAAAAATATCCACTCCTTCTCTATATACCTAAACTATAAGTTATACATTTCATACACTTCCATCCACGTGTAATTTTTGTAAAAAAGCTAAGAAATAATAGGTTTAATCTTTATATAATTCAAATACAAGAGAAAAATGTTATTGTAATAAAAATATATACATTTTATTATATAAGTATAGTTATACTTCATCCAGCCCAGGTCAAATCCCAGGTTTCATTCATTATCTAAGGTCAAGCTTCTTTAGTTTTTTACACCAAATTATCTGTGTTCAATCGATTGAATTATAAATTAATTTACATAAAACCTTCCAACTTAGTTCTTCAATATTTTTATTACCTAATTATTAGCGACTTATTCATCATTTAATTTTGTTCGTCCAATTTTTCGACATTTTATTTATCTTCTCTCAACTGATTATACAGAATAAAGCAATTGATTAATAAAATAATATAACGCTTTTATAGTAAAATAGGTTTTAAGGTCATCGAGGTAAACTTTATTTAAGTCGTCTGCGCCAACTCACCTGTTTTAGTCGACAAGCAGCTTTCTTTGTAATCCAAGTTTTGGTTGAAAGGTCTGTAAGGTATAAGCAGAGAAATTATATGGTGTGGAAGCAAAATACCTTAATCCTCCGGAATAGCAATGTATATGTGGTACCACAGGCATCATCTGTTGACGTAATATTGTTCATGGATATAGGCGACTGTTGCCGCTTACCATAAGGGGGGGTAATTGGTATAGCAAACAAGGTTTACCCATCTGACGAAGTAATAAACCGTTGTTGCAACTTGTTGTCATTTAACTTTTTATGTTTTTTAGCTCTGCTAGTATTCTACGTACCGTCTGAATCAGGAGAGAAAGTCACACTTGGAATCAGCGCTCTGTTGTCCATGACTGTCTTCCTCATGACTATTCGAGACACGTTACCACCTACAGAGAAAACGCCACTCATTAGTAAGTTATTTATTTATATTAAATGCTTTATTCAATATCCATGACACAATTTAATATTATTATTCAATCAAATAGTAGTATAAAAGTGATATCTAGTTATAGTGATTTGTGAACATTATATGGTCAAATACATACTTGCTATGACTTGGATACTTTGGCCGTCTAATTGGATAATAATATGTAAACTTAAAATATGCAGTAGGTACAATTGGTAAATTCGCCACGATTGACTAACTGACATGATTGAATTCTTGCCCATCTTATCATATTTACTACTGGTGCCCCGCTAGCATATATCGTCATTGCAAGCACGAGAATCACTCCATCATCACTCATAAAATGTCCATAAAAGTGGCAACACATGAGAGGTATTTTATAATAATCATGTCTTTACATGTTTTAACATACATAAAAGTGATCTATAATAAATATAATACTGAGACATCTCTGCCTTGCTTTAGTAATATGTTAGTTATGATATTTCGTTTTCATACTACTAAGTACAAAGTATGCAAAACAGGTTGTAAAAAGTTTTATCTTGATTTTGTGTCATTCCGACGGAATAGACCTAATTATAATTTAATGCAATTATAATTACTTGTTAAAATTGTTTAGACGGAGTTTGCGGCCCATATTTTCCATAATTACTTGTCGTGCATTATTAATGTTTGCATAATCATGAATAGTAGGTCAAAGTACGATTCACATTTAAATTTCTACCGAATAATATTTATAGGCGACAAACCGATTACTGTTGACTTTGCATATCTTAGATATACATACAACAACATTATTGTTAAACAATTATTTAACAATAATGTTGTTATATTACTATATACCTGTGATTATAGGGTATAATTTGTTTGACTGGCATAAACTGTAGACATTTTGTTCATTTAAGTTATATTTATATAATATTTAGGATTGGAAGAGCTGTTCTAACATACATATAAATAAGTAACAATAATGACTACAAATTGTAAATAATATACTAATGAAGATTTGCAGGAATATGCTCAAAATGTTTAATAATGTTTGTTTGGTTTTCGCATTAACAAGGAACCTCTATCCTTTCTCAGGGTCTAGATTATCTGTGTCCAAAACTTTTGTCGTAAAAACGAGACAGACAGACTTACTTTCGCATTTATAATATTAGTAAGGATAATGTTCTTTTAGGGAAAGAATTTTCCACATACCCATAATGCGCTTGGTTTATATTGTAGCTGACCGCCGTCTCCTGGATTTTTTTATCCATTATCGCAATTTCGTTCACTAGAACAACATACTATTAGCACAGATAATATAATATTAGGTATTGTAACATTATCTGTTTTCAGGTTTGTATTATGGAGTCAGTACGTGCTTAGTATCGTTTTCGGCATCACTCTCTGTGGTGACTCTCAATATATCGTACAGGCGAGTTTTTTATTTGTATTTGTTCTGTAGCATATGTACTTAATTATTGCGATATTATTTTTAAATAATTAATTTAAAGTACAATGAATGAAAACGATACATACGAACGAAATAATAAGAAATATAAAGGCGCTATTTATAAATATAAATTAATAAACTTAAGATTTTAATATACTGAACTTGAGACTATAATTAAATTACAATCGTAGTATAATTTTGCAATAAATTAAATCTAGACTAATAAAATTTAAGGTATACTCAATATATAAGAACCTATAGTGAATTCCAATTCTTGTATTTCGCTTGTATTTATCATTGGTATATTTAATAATGTATATATATAAGATGATACTGGATCTTTATAAAGTGTTTAAATTTTGTAAAAGTCTGTTTTAGTTGATATAAAAAAAATATATTAAAAAAATACTTTTGTTTCATTCACTCTTCATGTTTGAACATTAGATGTGAATCAACATGATGTGTTGTGTGAACATATGATATTGCTCGTAGAGGAGTGAGAGGGCAGCCTGTGCCGGCGGTGCTCCGGGAGCTCGTGCTGCAGCGACTCGCGCGGCTGCTCTTCATCAACTTCGACACTGACGCACCAAAGGTATGTCGTATCCATAGGTACTATATGACACTCCTTACACATGTTAGTAATTAGAATCTACTATTTAATATCTTACTTTATACACTAGAACTCCACCGCTTAGGATCAGCCTTTACAAGCCGTCATGATATGTCATCACATAATCACAACGTGTCATCACGTGAAGGCGTGTCGTAAGATTGGTACATTAGTTGTTACACCCCGGCCGATTTTAAAATGCGTTCTTTTTAAACGTCGACGGCACGGACCGTGTCGGACTCTTATCGGAAATGTACGTGTAATGTGTATGCCTAACTGTCGCAATCATCCCATAATCCCTTATGATACACAGAATTTTTTAAACACCTTTATTCAAAGAAGATAACAATTCCATACTTACACATTTTATATCATAAATTGTGTATATCTACTTTTCTATTAATAAGTGGATTTGGGGTATAAAATATCAAAAGCTTGATATTGGACACCTGATAATACGAGCAATGAACTAGCTCTGTAATGAAATTAATATTTGTTCCATTTTATTTTTGATAGCTACTTAGAACAACTTATAGGATACTAAATTATCCAAAATGCCGTCACCGTGATGTGTAAGAAGGTGTCTTATAGTCAAATATTGTTTAGTATTCCCCGCGGCTACGACCCTCTTCTCACGTTTTTCGGCTCAAATTCTTTTCCAATGCGATCAAAACATGACAAAAGAATGGCTATAACTATACAGTGCTCGTAAGTGCGTATGACTATGTATACATACATATCTACTAATATATGGTACATCTAGGGTACAAAGAAAAATAGCATTTTTAGTTTCACAACCTATATCAAAAACGATGTCGATTTTTGTTGATTGTAAAAACATTTGACATGTGGGATATAGGATGACAACGGCACGGTGGCGACGGGTGGTGTCCAAGTCAATCCACGCACTGGGTCCCGATTGAAGACGGAAGTGCGCTGTGACGGTGCACCACTACCACCTGCCTCGCCACGTTTCGCACGTCACAACCACAACCATTTAGGTAAGTTCCGTAACTTATAGAAGAAGATTTTACGTTAGGATTAAGATCAATACTTACAACTTAGTGTTACTCAACATATAATGGAAAGGTATATCATAAAGGTTGCGTTGGGAATTGCGTTCAGCTTAATCTGTACTTTGTCTTATAAAAATATACATATATACTATCGACAATAGTTGCAAGCATCATTCAATCATAGGACAAGTATAGAGATAACGTTTTTGAAGTATAATTAAAATTTTATTAATAAAAAATATTAATAAAACCCGTTATGAAATTAGGAGATAGTTTAAAGATTCAACATGGAAGTAACCTTTTAATTTGCAAAAATAATAATTAATATTAATTCTAAAATATTTATTAGTCATGGATTAATTGTAAAATTATATCATCGTACATATATATATTTTAATCCACTGTTGAGTGAGATGCTATAAACGTTTTTTACGTCCACGTCTCTGGATTTGGAGTCAGTGGTCTAAGCCGGGTATACATAATTACTATCTACAATATGGTAGGCCTCTCCTCGGCCTGTCAGTTATTATTTTTTTATGAATTATATACACATCTATTACGATTTCTTTGTACAAATATTTTTAGTATAGACAACTGTAATGCCTGTTCTAAAATTGTACTGACATCACAAATTTACAAAAGGATTTCAATTGCTATTTTGATAGAGTTATGTACTTGTGCGATAAGGATTTGTTGATTCTCTGAATAAAACTCTCGTTTAATTCGACTTGTTTATCTTGCTGAAGTGTCTTGAACTTTTCTTGCCAACAGGATTCAAGTTTATTGAACGCTGTAGGCTCTGAATGATTGATGATGTTGAATTTGCCCAATAGGTAAAGACGGTTCCCATATTGGATTCAGTTTGTTAGAGTTATGCGCATATTGATAGTGCCATTTAGATAAAGAAGTTGGCTTATTAGGTGCCTTTGTATGCGTGGTTAGTAGGATTTGTGTTTTGAATAAGCGTGAAAAAATAAAACCTTACGATGTGGATGATCATGAATAATATTTGACTCGATAAAAAAAATAAGATATGAAATTTTATGATAGTATGCAAATGAATTTATGTTGGCAATAGATAGGGAAGTGAGCTTAGTTTGCGTAGATATAGGTTTAGGTCGAGTAAAAAATGCATATTCTTCAATATACGACCAACTAGAGTTTATGATTCACGGAGTGGACTATAAAAGGTTTCTTCAGGATCGATAATGTGCACTTGGCCACATCATGGTAAGCACTTGACTCAGCTGTAATAAATTCCAACGTCACAGCAGTACTCTTACGGCTGAATAGAAGTAAAATATTGGCAATATTTTCCTAGAGAAATTGTTTTTAATTACGATATTAGTAATTAAATAATATATATATATATATATTTGAGTAATTTCTACAGGTACATATACCTTCATTTTACATCTATGCTAAAATGCGTTGTTTGTAAACCTAAACATTTTATATTAATTTATTTAAAAAAGAAAAGAAAGAAGTTAAAAGTCTACTTACAATTCAATTAAAAGTGTTAATAAACCAATGTCTGTAGGAATGCAGATATCTAGAGATTATATTACAGAAACTCACAACTGTTTTGGAGGACAGAGTAAGATTTAATTACAAGAAAAGCGGACAAGGTAACAGATTAAACGAGTTTCAGTGATCCGCGAAAAGTTGACTCGAATTGCTGTGTAACTTTGTTATTGCAAATAATCGTTGGGCGGAGAAGGGTTGTAGTCCGGCCTAATTTGTATAACGAGCAGTTACGTGGGTTTATGTGGAAGGAGGCACCCAACTCCTTCAGCAATTAGAGAAAGCATATCAGTATTGTATATTACAATTTTAATATAACTGGATTGGCTTAGTATTGTATAATTTTGCATTTAACTAGACGACCTTACAGGACTCGTTTACAAATTTGTAATTAGGGTATTAGTAGACTAGATATTATTACAATTATTCATTCATTATACAAGTAATGTAGCTTTTATTAAGACATTAATTATAGGTATGATATTTAGTGTAGACTGTAAAATATATTTTAATGATGATGAATTACTGCTTCCAATATTGATGATGATGTTAGTGATATAGATCAGTAAGGCTAGATTGAAGGGTAGCAGTGGATGGTACATAAGAATGAAGCCATGGTAGTTAAACTACCGTGCCGAGTTCACATGTAATTAACCATTAAAATCCAAGTGGAATTGTTTATTTATTTATGTCGACTTTTAAATATTTAAATGCAATGATTTAAATATAAATAAAGTCTCCGGACAATCTTCAATCGTATATTTAGCCAGACAGGAGTTAATTTAAAAGGTTTAGAAAGTTTTTTAAATTAACAGATAAGAGGGCTATAAGGAGGGTTGAAACTGGTGAAATAGTACTGATCTTAAGAAACTTACATAATATTTTTAATTACTTCATAATTATTTATAATAAATAGTAGGTAATTATAAATGATATGTAAATTTCTCTATGTGTAAGTATATCTCAATATCAACATGAGTATAATATAAGTATGAGTAGATTTAGTCATTACTAAACTACTTGCAAAAAATAACATAGAAATATGGAGAAACACTGAAATTTTATACCAGACCTGCTTTCACAAGAGACAATAGTATCTCAAATGTTTTGTCTTAGAAATAATTAAAACAGTGCTACTATCCAGGCAGAGAACAAAACTTCACACGGGGGTACTTAATTAGAACATATTAGGGCGTCCTTTCCACGAACTAGTAGTTTCTTATTACGTTGCAACAAATATAACTGTACCCACTGAACTGCAATCGACAATCGAAATGAATCTGCACTCCAATCCAGAACACTATTAAAGAACAATGTGCACAACAGGTCCAGTCAGAAAAAAGACGTTCGGATAACAAGAAAACGGAGACTGTCTTTTGCCGTATATAACAAACGATAGTCGCGAATAGTTTGTATTAACAGTAAACACAGACGATATCTTCGTCGAAGTGTAATTTTCCAGAACTATTCTATTGAATAAAAGTGCAAAAGTGCAAAAATGTATGTTCTAATGATATTTTATTAACAAAAACAAAAGACGACTAGCGTATATTCTCATTTTTCTTCTTTTTTATTCAAATGAATATTCGCTTAATTTTCAGTTATATTGTTCAGAACTCCAGTCCGTCTAAAAAAAATTTATTATAATATTTTAGACAAATGATAACAAAATGGTGATACTAAGTACATAATTTTATTCACAAAACTACCGTGACAATACACAATAGCTACAACAATCTTATAATATACCGAGTACTTATTTTAATAATCTTGACTATTACAGGCGCAGGAAATCGTAATATTTCCTGGTTCCAGGTGTGAATCTTTTGTAAATGAAAGTGTGACGCTATTTATTTGAATTGTCTCGTTTATTCATGAACAATGCACAAATTTATAACCTTACCTGCCTATTATATTTTACCTATTGTACAATATTCAATATAATATTATTTAGTAATAATTTTCTATTATATCAGATTCTGGTTCTTATAAATCATGCTCTGAAGACAATTCAATTTGTTATTTAGAATTTTATCAAAAACTGTTGCCCGCTTGTTTTTAATATTTATTGTACATTTGTGCTACTGCTACATTAATCTAAGACTACTGACGGATAAAATCAGGTCGATAATTTCTTTCAATGATTTCGAGGGATATCGAACTAGGAGCATAATAACAATCTATATGACGAGATTAATCTAGTAATTAACTTATATTAATTTTTGTACAGATTATTTACATATGTAGATGCACTTAAATCTATGTTAGTGATACTATTAACATATTCCTAACATCATTAAATATTTGGATTCCGAGCAATTGGGTTGGGGTGACATATTTTTTAATGATTGATAGATTTAATTTTTATGATGAAGCTTTCGCCTGTGCGTGTGTAACAGTCTACGCTAATGGAACAGCAGTGGAAGATGATAAGATGAATATGAGGTCAGGCCAGTTAACCTATCATGGCGAATTGATCACGATGGATGGAATTCATCACGATGGTTTCCATGGGAAACCGCGTTTAGGTTAACTTGACATGGTACATTGCTACTTAATGACGTAATCATTCTACATTACTAATAATCCCCTTACCACGGGTTGTCATATTTATTACAGCAATGTTTTTAGATTGCTGTTACCGCACCGCTATCACGCAGGCTCTCATTTGCATTTGAATCATCATGAAATATATGGAACACGTTCAGCACTGTGTACCCGCTGTGTTCACAATCCCACAGGCTGAAGACAAATTGTGGTCACTTTACGTGCATTTATGAACAGGTAGTGCAAGCGCAGTGCCTGGAAGTGCAGTGCCGGGAGGAGCAGTACCAGGTACTGGTGCTGGTGGTGTGGTGGTCAGTGAAATGGGCTGCGTATCGCCGTGTTCACGGTGTGTGTGCTGTGGGTGCACGCTGCGAGAAGCCACTGCGAGACACGAGCAACGAGTTGCCGCCAACGAACGTTTGGAGCGAGCTAACTTGGAATGGAAACAGGTAAGGTATATTTCGTGATTATATAATTGCGTGGATTTTAATAATGAACTATAATAATATATCATTTTATTATAATATCTCAGAATAATCCATACAGAGTCATCTAATCTCAAGTTAAGCAGAGCTTGTATTAGGGGTACTGCCTTACGTACTGCTAAACCGCTAGATCACCCAGGCCGTCATTATATTTTACTATTAGACAAGACTATGGACTAATACTTATCTCTCTCAACACATATACTTTACCATAGATGAAACCCAAAGACAATAGAAGTGGTATTTATTTATTTTAAGAGCTTTGAAAACACAACTGTATCCTTTGTAAAAAATCGTACCTATATCAAGTTTATTTCTCCGGCCTAGCAACTTGAATTTTGTAAGCTGAATTTAAAATTCAAGCAATGAAATTAGTTTAATACGGAAGAAAAATGATTGTAATCTTAACTTCGACCATCGGCTAGTCCATAAATATGTGTGTGACCGTGATGCTGTACATGTATGTAGGCAGCAATTTCCACTTTAAATTACTTGTATCATCAGATTGGTACATAAAAAAATACAATTTTTTAAAGAATACATCACAAATTTACGTCGAGTATTTTATATAAACGTCAATGCTGAATTTGCTTCAAAGAATGGAACCGATCACATACATTACTTAAATCATGATAATGAAGTATTTGATCAAGACAACAGCAAACCAGTGTATCTTTATGATCGAAGACCAGTGATTTTATGCCTTCGATAATGCCTTAATACGATGAAACTGGTTAGGCTATAAAATTTGTTATATGAAATAAAGTCTGTGGAAAGTTTTTACACTTATAAAATTAGGAGTAGCAAATCTTTCTCATAAAAAAGATTTTTTTTAATGTTCGCAAATTATACCAAATGACATTTATAAAGTAACATTTGTCTTATTTAGTTTCTTTTTATTATGTTTGGTGCTTTATTTTTTGTATATATATATTGCTTGGTAGTGTTTTTCATATTCCTCATATAAATATATATATATAATATTATAGTAGACGTTCCATTTACCAATAGCTTCTTTCTATCTATTTACTAGTACTTATTACATTATAGGATCGCAAAGTATAGAATCAAAGAATTGTTTTGTCTATATAAAAAGAAAAAATAGGCGATTTGAGAACCTTGTCATACCGGAGTGATGGCTTTATGTTTACAGTGAGATACCTGCGTTCGTGAATTTAATTTTGGTTGACACCAAAAACTTTGTGGTAATTTAAATTTCCGATTAACACTCCGGTTTACCATTACCCCAGAGTTAATCGGAAATTTAAATTATGCAATCATCGTTTACAAACTACAAAATGAGAGAGAGCGGTAGGTTCGAATGATGAATAGAAATGCTCGCCGAAAGTGGGCAATTTAAGTGAATTGTAATAATGAACATAAACAACTTTTGATTAACTCATTTTGATTTACAAGTTAAACTTATATATAAATATGCATGTAATATTTGTTTTATTGTGTCAGCCTTTATTTTAGAAATTCTGAACGCTACTAAGTTTCAGCGTATTGTAGTAATTTGAAAGCTAAACATTTTACAATATTTATTATTTGAAATTCTAAATTTTATGCTATACGCAACTTACATGATTATTCAAAATCATCGTTATTAAGAATTTATAATTTTACATAAACATAAAAAGTATTCTAAGAAAAAAGGAAAAGTTTTGGTCTCACAGGTACAATAATTCTTTCTTTTTTGCACGTTTTGCGTCGTTATGAGATACGATACTTTGAAGTGTTTGTTAGATACATAGATTATTCATAATTCAGGATAAGGTTGTACAACCAAATACAGATAACAATAGTGACAATATTGATACATGTTAGGAGAATAAAAGTAATTAACAAAGTTTAATAATATTTACGTTTATTCATTATAGGCTCTGTCATAAAACAAAAACTCGTACAATCACTACGTTGAGAAATAAGTATCTTAGATAGTCGTATCCTTGTGGCTTACTACCCTTTCTAACACCCAAGAGTCGTGACATCTAGCCGACACCAAAAAACTGCATGTGTCAATTTGTATTTCTTAGTGTCTCTTCGGTGAAGATAACCTAACAACAAATCCGAGAGACAACGGTGAGCTCACCTCCTACCATGTTGGATTCAAATATCCTGGGAAATGCGGACATGTCAAGTGTTGCGTTCACCAGCACATCAATGCATTCAGGATACAGTCGTACTTGTACATATCTTACCCTATAGATACCGTCTTAGTATGTATTAATACTGTACTATATCAATATGTTACTGTAAAAAGTTTAAATGTTAAGAATTTCAACTGACAGGAACAAACATACCTATAATAAACTTCATTAAACGGAACGTACGCAGCGTCTTCTACGATTCTACTAACTTTGGCTTTAATGACGTTTAAAGAAGAGATTGAAAAATTTACCAATTTAGAACTCCTTCCGTGGCGTAATTGGAAACTCATTTCGCTTGGAAAGTTGAAGCATAATGGTTCAGGTTCTGTACGAAGGAAAATTTTATATTTGTATGCTAAAAATGAACACTAAAAAAAGTTTCGTATATTTTCGCACTTAATACTTAATACTTAGATATTGAATATATTTACAATTATTGTTAATGTTGATAAATTATAAAGAAAATTTAATAATTACATTAAAAGCAAATATTTTAAAACATATGTACCTTAATATAAGATATATACACACACGCATATATATGCACTTTTTTATATTACAATTACAGTTCCATCAAACAAGCTGACGGTCTACTTCATTAAGTAGACCGTCAGCTTGTTTGATGTAACGTTAACCATTGCCTATATACGAGTACATACAGAAGTATAATGTCACTCCTGTTATCTTGCAATTTTACTGCCTAATCGCATCCTACAACCTAATGACTGCTTACAAAGCAAGCTACTTCGCGGTTGAATAGGGGGGACTGAGGTACCCACGCAAACGACTTTTCAGTCTACTTCAGCTGAACTACTTCCAATGACGCACTTAAGTACCTATTACAGTCTCTAAGTTTATTGTGAGACTTACAATTTTACCTACTTATTGAGCTTCGCAATAAATGGATCGTTAAAAATATACTAATATAATTTTCTATCTTTATGTTTATGTGGACCGTAATATATGACAGCATGGGGAAACGGCATGTGTATTGATGATCTTATTGCTAGCTAATGATCTAATGTGCCATGTCAGATTGACCTCCCCGCGGTTCCCCCTGGAAACCATGGTGATAAATTCTTGGTGAATTTGTCACGATAGGCTAACTGATCTGATCTCATTTTCATCTTATCATCCTCCACTGGTACACGCCAGCATATACCGATAGCGCATGTGTGTGCACAATTCCATTATCATCCATAAAAAAAAAATTATATCAAAGAGGTGCCCTCTACATCCATTTGACTTTGACTGTCACTTGTATATTATGAACTTATGTAAATAAATGTGAATGTTTGTGGATTAATTTAGTAATTAATAAATTAAAGTTGCCAATCAAGTATAAAAAAATAATTCATATTTACTTGCACACAAAAAGGTTGATCATTAAATATTTCGTAGTTAACGATGTATTCAGCGAAACCTGTTTTTATGCCTTTCATTACACAGAAATTACAAACATTTATATTTTTCAGTCCCTTGATTTTAATAACATATACTTAATTTCCTTTGGGACCCGCCACGCTTGAAATGTCCGTTGGAAAACAACTGTTAACAAATGTTTTCTCTTATTTTAATTTATTAACAAGACTACCATCTACTGATGGAATACATTTTTGTAAAGAGTTTTACTCGGCTTATTTACTTTTCTGATGGTTTTGGTTACTTGTAATTATTTAATTTTGTTTGAGCACTAAACTGATAAAAACGAAATTTATTAAACCCTACAGTAATAATTAATAAGATATTGAGTAAAAGGCCACTTAAAAATGAAAGCAAGTTATTAACTTTTTTTGTAATCCTATTTATTTTAATAAGTAAATTAGTTACTTAAAATTTGGCAAATTGTAACACGTTTGAAAAACGTTTACATGTTTTTTTTTATTGCGCATCCTTGATCTATATATATAGATACTTATTATAAAACAAAGTCCCTCTCCTGCTCTGTATGTATCGCGATACTCAAAACTACTGAACAGACATTCGTGCAGATTAATTCTAGCAACTGAGTTGTTATTGACGAACGTTAAAGTTTTTTTTTCTTTCGGCCTACTCCAATGCTATGTGAGGGCATCGTTAGGGGTTCGAATCTCGGCTCAGGCCGTTGTAATTTCGATCCCCGTTTGAATTGAACGGGGGATCGATCGGAGGGGAAGATTTAAGTTGTAGCCTATAATGGGCTCTAGTTACAAATTATAAACGCGACGTAGTTTTCGGCATATTGTATTGTGATTAACATGATTGTATTGTCTGCAGGTGGCTGTGGTAGCTGATCGAGCGTTACTCGCCGTTTTCGTACTGGTCACCACAATTGCAACGGCCGCCATTTTATTGCCCCAGCTGAACAACCTGCACGTTGGTAATACACCCTTAAAACCGCCCACCTAGAGACCGTTTTCCCCTGCAACATGGGAACAAAATCAACGAATTAAACTTTAATTAAAGGCATGTGCCAAAAATATAAAAACTGTTGTGTCAAGTTGAAGTGCCAAAGTGTGAAGTGACGAAGGTTTTTGAACTGTCTACAGCAATATCTTATAGTGAGATGTGATGATGTACCTATGAATTGAACATATATACAAGTTGATATTGTGTAATGCAAGTGATATTGTAATGTGTATTTCATTGACTCATTGTCAATTGCTCAATTTGATGGATTTTCAATCCGCCAATTTGTAATGGATGGATTTTGATTGGTATACAAAAAACGAAAGCTCTTGTTAAAATAACGATGTATATGATGGAATGCCATTTAAAGCTATTTAGGTTTAAAGTAATAATTCAGGATCATTAATAAGGATACTTTGTTAAATATCGACTGTATAATATCAAGTACCTATATTTCAATAACGATCTTATAATGTTAAATATTTACATAAAAGAGTAAGTAGGGATGTCAATTAAAATATTTTTAATCAGTATTATAATTTTAAATACTTTGTTAAAAAAAAATTAAGAACTACTATGTACTGTTAGTTGCAAATGGAGATCGTTATTTATACTTATTTTTCTACATAATCATTTACTTGTTTATTTAAAAACTGTATATTGTATTAACATATGTGCCAAATTGTTTACTCATATGGGTAATAGTTACACTATTATGTTAAATAAGTGTGAAAAATTTAAAGTATTATAGAAAATAGTTTCTAGAATTTCGGAATAAAGTTTGTGTGCAATAAGTATTTACCTAGTTATTAATTTACAAAAATGATGACTTTATATACTGGCATTTGTTTATTGTATTTGACTTTTTGACTGGGTCGATTTGATTTTGGCCCGCCAAGTATTCTCGTAAATTTGTGAGCTTTTTTATATATAAACGTAATTTATAGCATATATCATTCTGGAATAATGTACCATACAAACAGTGCAGTAATGTTCCAAATAAGGTACAGTGGTTTCTGAGATTAATAAAAGTCTGCTCTCTTTCTCTCTTTAAAAAATATTTACATATATATGTTACATGTTTGTACCCTAGAATACATACCTATATATCTCTGAGAAAATAATATTACATACATACATATATATGCGGTTGTCTATCGCGAATATTAGTTAAACTGTCCATTAATACGTAGACTGGACAAAAGTTACTTAGTTGTAAATTGTATTTGTAATTAAATCGTTTAATAATATAGGTTATGCTCAAGGTTGTTGCCAAATATTGAATGTAAATATAGCATAAGAATGTTGATACTCATTATAGTAAGTTATCTGTTAATTAAAGTATCTATATAAAGAAAATAAAGGTTTCAAATGACGACTGAGTTTTGTGTTCACTTTTGCAAAAGTTTTTATGTACCTATACTTAGCTACTTTACGATCCAAAAGTTCATTTCTTTTAACATGAACATCAGATGAATTGGCAAATTTTGTTGGTAGTAAGTTGTTGTCGTTGTTATATAGAATTCTTTAATCTCTATATATCTACAAACTATAGGTATTCTGGGACGCTGATAGCGTAAATCTTTACTATCCAACATTTACAGAATTTTTGTAATCGGGTCAGTAGTGCCGGAGTTTATCCCAAGATCGAAACTCACAACTGTCTGTCTTCTTTAAAATATAAAACTAGTATAGATTAATTCGATCCTGAAAAATAGAAACGTATATGCTTTTTGCATTGATAGAGAATAGAATGTTCAACGATTCCATAGAAATAAAGCATATACCTAATAGTTGAAAAATTATATATGGATTTAAAAGTACGTTTACAAATAAGCTTTATAAAAAGATTACAGATATCATACATACTAAGAACTATATAATATAAATGAAATTGGAGTGTCTGTTTGTAATATTGAAATAACCGGTGTTTACTACATACATATAGATATAAATACGGTACATACACCAAAATAACATTTTTTACAATTTTTGTCTGTCTGTCTGTTCATTCCGGCTAATCTCTGAAATGGCTGGACTGATTTCGACGGGACTTTTATTGCCAGATAGCTGATGGAATAAGGAGTAACTTAGGCTACTTTTATTTTAAAACAATAAAGTTTAATTCCACGCGGATAAAGTCGCGAGTGTAACTAGTTAGTAATATAATCACAGATACAAGGGTTACTTCGTCCGTCTATCCGTCTGTCATAAGTTTACAGCGCTATATTGCAAGCTATTGTTTTAAAATTTGATTTACTTTTGTTATTATAATATTAATGAATTATACGTTCTTGCACGAAGAAAAAGAACAAGAATAGAAATGATGAATAAAATAGGTACAGTGAAGATTTAAAGCACAATGTTCACGTAATAAAAGCCATTTTAAATTTGAACGAAAAGGAAATGTGGTGTATAAATATTTGAACTATTTATACATTACAAAGTTAGTTACAAAATACTAAAGTATATTTAGAATGAGTACTCGGGAATTAACTCAAATAGCGCTGGGCATTTTATCGATGCTGACGTTATGGTGAACGTAACCCTTGACATTTCCACAAGCATTTTAATCTAACATTCCTCAAGGATGAAAAGAGAGGTACCGTCTCTTAGATTAATTACATTTGTTACCATCATTAGACAATTAGTACTTTAGAATTAGAGTTAGTCCCTATATGGTTTACGAATTGAGAAATGTAGGATCAACCAGGGAATTCGCATAATTGTTATGGATTTAGTATAGTACACAAAACAGCCGATCCTGAAAGTAAAACAATATAGAAAGTTCTATGAAATGTACCTTATATTTAAAAATAAATGTCATTCATGCTACAAATTGAATGTGTAATTTTATATATAATATCTATAATATTTCAGCAGTTCTATAACATGTGCAAACTTTCATATAAACCATACTATATTAATTTGTAATTCAAGATAAATATGTGAGTAATTTTAAGGCTCCAACGGTCGAAAATAAGATGTGGAGAACTTCGGTCTTATAAAACTGACTGAATAAAACGGTCAGAAATTTTATCATTGACTCAAGCCTTGGAAAAGAGAAGGATGCGATTATGAGTCAGTTACCTATCTTTATTTTTTTGTGGACATCGAAATAATACTAACAATACTGGTGTCTACATATACATTATGGAGACGCATTTCTCATTCTGTTTCTAGTTAAAATAAAAATGAAAAACAAACCTTTCACAACCTTGCTGTGAAAGGTTTGTTTATACCTACATAGGATACAGCTACACTGATACAGAACAATAGAAATGCAACAAAATGTTTTTGTTCGCTTTACACTCTAGTTTACTAGCCTCGAATTACAAAGAAACATTTGTTCGTTATTACGTAGATGGAATTTTATATATTAGATTATTATTTACTTTCATATATTATATAATGGATACAATGATAAGTACCAATTTTTGAAAATAGTGTAAAATTTTAGTGCCTAACTACTATAGGGACACCTACCAAAAAATTAAAACGAAACTTGTATAAAAGTTCTAGGTCCTAGATTTGCAGTGTCTGATTATTTTATACATATAAATTAATATTGATACTTTAGAATCACGAGGTCACGAATTTTATCATTTTTTTAATGAATGAATTGTTTTTTATAGGATATACACAATTTTTATAATTTATTACATAGGTAACCGCTATTACACACATTTATTCTTTATATATACCAAATGATTACGTTATCAAAATATGCAATAGGTAATCAAAGACAAGCCCTAGTAATTTTTATACATTTTTATACAGTATTAATAAATAGAAGTGATGACTTAATGTACTCTTAACAAAGTTAGTGCTTAGCTCACAATCAGATGGCCCATTCATATGATGAGCTACTGCGAGAATGTTATTATTCAAGAGTTATCTACAAGTAACGAGTTCCTCTGACATGCCTAAGTTTCTTGATTAAGTTACATACAGGAGTTCCACGTTGGCCCAACCAATAATAACATAAGGACACGTGTCAATTTCAATAATCCTATTTGTTGGTTCGCAATTAGATTGAGATTTTGTACATTTATACAATTTAATACCACGGGGGGGATTATTAGTAATATGGACTAATCATCTTATTACTAACAATTTTCATATCAGATTGACCGCCACGCGGTTTCCCCAGGAAACCATCATGATAAATTCTTGGTCAATTTGTCACGATGGGCCAACTGACCTGACCTCATGTTCATCTTATCATCATCCACTGGTGCCTCGCCAGCGTAAATCCTTAGCGCAGGCGGGTGCGTCATCACATTATCATACATAAAAAAAATACTATAGGTACGACAATGTTATAAAACGATAAATTGATATACTTTAATAGTTTGGATATTAATGACTAGCTGTGCCCGCGGTTTCACCCGCATGAAATTTGTAGCCTGTTTTATTCTGATGTATAAGCTATATTACTGTAAAGTTTGATCAAAATCTTTTCAGTATTTATATTAGTAAGAAAGATGCTGTTGTCAATATTGAAACACGATTATTTAATTCTACCTGCCTATACCTAAAGTTTTTTTTTCGTTGTTATATTCATTGAATACTTCTGTTATATTTATAGTTAACCAATTTGATCTCGTTTTCGTCAATAGATGTCTCAACTGTCATTTCGCCTTCCCGCAACTAGTAACTGCCAAAGGAAATGCGTTGATAGTGTGAATGTCATGTACCCACTATTATTTGAAATGCCTACAACTGTCGGAACTTTTAGATTCTATAAACGAGATGTATTTGTATTTAATCATAGTTCGATCACATTGAAAGATATATTAGTATATTTTGTTATTTTATTACTAACAATAAAGAGTATTGAAACTTCAATTACACAATTATAACTCCCACACACCGGCATATTTTTATTCCTATTTGACAGGAAAGTTTTGAAGTAGACTGTAGACAAAAACTGGTTTGAACCACAGTTTCACCTATTTCAGTTGCCAAGCAGATTGCTTTGTAAGCAGTGTTTTGTTTGTAG